TAGTAGTTATTCTGTTTAATTATATCTAAAAGTTGTTAGGTGCAACTCATTATTACCCTCTGAACCCTGTCCTATCCTGTGCCAGCCTTATCATTTTCTGGCATTCTTGGGCCCATTGCTGCAGTCACTGTGTCAATTAGGCCTCAGAGAAAAGAAAATCATTATTCAGGCCTCAGTTTAAAAAAAGACTTTGTTAATTAAGGAGACATGAGTATTAAAAATCAAGGGTTAGGAAAGAAAATAGGATTCTAAATTCCAAAAATCTCACTTTTACAGAGCAGCAGCTAAGTGGAGATCTTAGTTTCTCTTGACAAACTATAGTACATGGAGATAGGGATCTCTCGGGATCTAGAGGTAAGGAATTGTGCTGCAATCCAAAAAAGTACATGGTTCAAATCTACCAGCTGGACCATAGAAGGTGGGTGGGCAATCTCCACCGGTGAGATTCACTGCCTCTGAAAACCTTGCTGGATGGTAAGCTAATAGTTATAATTTATATACATGCAGGTTTAAGAAAATCAGTGTATGTTCTCTTTTATTGCAAGTCAGGGAGTTTTGATGGCATTGTCCATGGATAGTTGCTCCGTTAGTCCAAAGACCATGCTTCTCGGTTTGAATATGCCTATCAGTGGCTCTTTGGGATGATGGGTAATCAGTTTATAGACACCGGCTAGAAGGTCAGCTATGAAGTGGTTCTGATTCAATGGCAATGAGGTTTTTTTAAAATTTATTATTATTATTAAAATTTAAATAGTCAGTACTGAAGTAAAAATCAGAAACTCACTCATTTCCATTGAATTGACTGACCCTCCACGGGGCTTTCAGGGGTTCTAACTCATATGAAAAGAGATTGCTGATCTTTTTTTTTTCCTGTGGGGCAACTAGTGGATTTGAACCACCTGTCTTTCTTTAGCCAGCCCAACTCCTTATTTAGGATGCCACCAGAGCTCCCTAAAAAACGTGGTATTGTTTCCCTCAACCAAAAGAAAATAGCTTGAATCTGCCAAGTGATTACATGGAAGAAAGGTCTGGTAATGTCCTTTCATAAAAACACTCAAAAACCTATGGAGTTATTCTACTGTGTAACACATGGACTCAATGTGAGTATGAACATAAATAGCATGGTAATTAAACCCCTACTGCCCATTGCCTAAAATAAAATCAGTTTGGATTGATTTCTAATTTGGCCACTTACTGTTTGTGATAATTTGCTTTACATTCTGAGGCTTGTTTTTCTCTTCTTCATAAAATCAAGATCCAAATAAAACATGATTTATCGTAGATGGTTGTTAAAGGAATTGACAACTGATTAATGTTCTTTTCTAAAACCAAGTTTTAGTATGTGTTAATTTTTCTTTTATACTTTTTTGTAGTCCATAGGGAGTTATAATTCTAACGCAGAAGATACAACTCTCTGAGGTTTCTAATCCATCAACTGCTTCAGGGGGGAAAATTGTCAGTCTTTCCCATGTGCTTTAAAGCTTTGATAACCTAAAAGAGGGTGAGCTGTGAGTTGTTTTTGGCTCAATGACAATGAAGTGTCAGTTTAATGCACGATACTAGAGAAAGCACTTAATTGTTAAAATTCATATGTATTTTCATTTGATTACTCACATCAATCACAATTATGAGAAAATAAAAGTTCTGAGAGACTGATGATTGGTGTAGGGTCCCACACATGGAAACAGCAGCCTACTCCAGGCAGATGCTATTTCCATGAGAATGCAAATTGGTGTGTTTGATTTTAACAAAGCAGGAAAACACTATATGGGAATGAAAATATTTGTTGCAAAGAAACGCGATTCCATAATTTCCTTCCAAAATTTCATAATTTTCAGCTATGTTCTTTTTTATAAAACTTCACCTTAATTTTGTTTCATAGCTGTTATTGTGTACCATCGAGGTAGAACTGACTCATAACTGACCCTTGGTCACATTTTCAGAGGCAGTTAATCTCAAGGGAGGATATTGTTCATCTTCTGCTGAGTAATTGGCGGACTTGAACCACATGCTGGGGAAGCCTCACAACTTCTTGCCCCCAGGCCACCAAACTCTTTAGTACTGTTTTATTGTTGTTGTTGTTGTTTTTGTTCTTGTTAGGTGTTATCTAGTCAAGTACTATTCATAGCAACCAAAGGAACAAAAGATCTGAATTAAGTCCTGTCCTGAGCCATCCTCACATTTCTTGACACACAAGAGCCCATTGAAGCAGTCACTGTGTCAGTCCACCTGGTTGAGGGTCTTTATCTCCTTCACCAAGCCTTCACACTTCCCAAAATCATGTCCTTCTCCAAAGAATAGCACCTCTTAGCAATATATCCAAAATGTGTGAGGTGAAGCCTCAGCATTCTTGCTTCCGAAGGGCACTATGGCTGCACTCTCTCCAAGACATCTATTTGTTCTCTTGGCCATGCATGGGATGTTCAGTGCTCTTCTCTAACATCACAGCCCAAAGGTATCAATTCTCTTTCTGTCATCTTTATTTATTATCCAGGTCTCGAATGTATAGCTAGTAATCGGAAAGATTATAGCCTGAATAAGACACACCTGTTTTATAATACAACATATTCTTTTCCTTCCATAGTCTCCTCTCTGAGAAATCTGCTGGCCCAGTGGACAGAAAAGCTATGCTACCAAGCCAAAGGTGGGCGGCTTTTAATCTGCGGCCCTTGGGCCTGTCTTTTATTGTGTGTTTTTTTTTCAGACATTCCTCTAGGTCGTATAGCCCTGGTGTACAAGTTGCCGTACAATGGTCACTTGTGGTTGCTGTGAGGCTGAACACTGTGACACTGATGTTACCCAATGCGGACAGAGAGTAGGGTGGAGCTCCCCGATTAAAACACGCTTGGAAGGAGGAGTGGCATCTACTTCCATAATAGCTTGCCTCTGGAAAACCCTATGAACCTGGAGAGAGGATGAAAGGCACCTAAGCGTCAAGGACTCTCCTTCATAGAGTCGCTATGAATCACCTGTGACTCAATGGCACTTAACAACAATTCTCCTCTCTACCATCTAAATTTTATTTGTGGCCAAATGTTGACCTGTTAATCTTGTATGGTTGTGTTTTAAGTGATTAATATCCCCTTGGACAGTGAGTAAGGATGACGGAAGAAGAATTGATGCGTTTGAGCGTGGTGTTGAAAAGGAGCACTGAACATCCAAGGACGGCCAGAAGAACATACAAATATGTCTTGGAGAGGGTGCTGTCAGGGTGCTCTTTGGAGGCAAGAATGATGAAGCTTTTTTACCTCACACACTTTGTGCATGTTGCTAGCAGGGGCTATTCTTTAGAGAGAAACATGGTGCTTTGGATGGGTGGAGAGTTGGTGAAGGAGAGGAAGACCCTTAACCAGGTGGACTGACATGGTAACTGCTGCAGTGAACTCTAATGTTTCAGGAAGAGTGAAGATGGCACAGGATAGATTAGGGTTTCAATCTGTTATTCACAGGATCACTATGAATCATACTGGACTTAAAGGCACTTAACAAGAACAATAGCTCCCTGCTATTATTGACTTACCTTATAACCTGTCTATTGTTTGACCAAAAGTTGTTCCACAGGTGTGAGTTCACTTCTTGTTAAAGGGCATGTAAGAACCATACTGCCATGAATTACACCAGGCTATGAATTCCAAGTTATTTTGGATTCTTGTTTTCCATTGACCCAAATGAAAAATAATAGCATTTTTCACGATATTAAAAAATTTGAAAGTATTCATCTTAATATTTCTTTGTTTTTCAAGTTAAGTTTTATAATTTTACCATGGGTTTATTTTGGTATTGCTGTTAGATGCCATCGAGTCATCTCTGAAATCATAGTCATGCAGAGCAGAACCTTGCTTGATCCTGTAAAATCTTTATAATCTTTACTGAAAAGTTTTGTTGCAGTCATTATGTCAGTAACTCCTTGGGAGTCTTCTCTGCTCACCCTCCACTCTCTAAGCATGATGTTTTTTCCAAAGGCTGTTCCTTCCTGATAACAAACCCAAAGTAAGTGAGACAAAGTCTCATCATTCTTGCTAAGAAGGAACACTCTGCACTTCTTCCAAGATAAATTTGCATATTCTGAAATTTGAGTTGCCTAGTTCCTTGGAGAGGGACTTCATGCTTGGGAGGGTGGAGGAACAGCACCGGAGAAAAAGACCCTGGATAAGATGGATTGATTCAGTGACTGGGGTAAAGGGAATAAATGTGTCAGAGACAATAAGATTGGCACCGAATAGAGCAGGGTTTAGGGCTATAATATATAGGGCCCCTATGAGTCACAGACAACTTAACGGTACATAACAACAACAGCAGCAAATTTTGTGAATCATTTCAGAAATGTTTGAAATTAAATAATTCAGGAGAAAGAAATCATTACAGTTCATTATGTTTATATAACAACTAAAGTGGATGAATTCTGTTAGTCTTTCTAAAAAGGATTTCAGAGTATGAAATAATGAAAGTTTAAAATTGTATTTCACTCTATTAGTTCATCCATCAATATATAAGATTCTGATAAATTGTTTTAGAATGCTGGTGTCCTAGTGGTAAGGAGTAGCACCGCCAACCAAAAGATAGGTGATTCGAATCCACCAGCTGCTGCTCCATGGGAGAAGGATGGACACCCTTCTCCCATGTTATTTACAGCCTCTGAAAGCTTTCTGGAGGTTCAGCCATGTATTTGTTCTGACTTAGCAATACATGACAACACCACCAACAACAATAAATAATAGACAAAAGTAAATATTTGTTAGTAAACTCCCCAATTTTCTTCATTTTTAAAATTAAGATTTTTTTTTATTCCTTCCTAGAACAAAATCTAGTGTGTTCTTACTGACACCACCAAATATGAAGTATGATTAACCTGTTTGCTTTCATACCACCACATTTTCCTTGTCAATATTTTAGAATTTATTATTTTATGGTCATCTGATGCATATTATTTGCTTATTCATTTTTTTGTCTTGCTCACTTACCTATACTGTGTTCTTTGTGTTTCCTTAGTGTTTTCATACTGCAGTTGAAGTGACTGGGACGGTTGTAGTCTCAGGTGCATTTTTGGTGATGAACTCTGAGAGAGCTTCTGAAGTGACAACAGGGCTCACTACTGGTTTGGTGGTGGGAGTAGGTGTAGGTTCAACAGTAGCACTCTCAGGGGTAGGAGTTACAGGAGTAACAGATTTATCTTCAACTTTCTTTGGGGGAATTACAGCAAATGATTGAGGGAAGGGTGTTCTATGATATACTGGGGACAGATAGATAACTGATGAAAACTTCCACTGAGGAATTTGGCTATTTGGCCTAACTGCAGTTGGTTTTACAAAAGATAGAGAAGGTGTGTATGGAATATAGAGTAATACAGTTGGTCTGTATGGGTAATAATTCAGTTCATAGTAAGGAAAGCTTTTCAGCAATTGAGTAATTGGGAAATGTTTGACTGTGTAAGGTTTTCTTTCATCATTCTCAAGATACTGCAAAGACAAAAAAAATATGTAGAATACTGTTGTTAGAATTCAGAGACAACTTAAATCATTAGTTTTAGAACTAGAATTCAGAGACAACTTAAATCATTAGTTTTACAAATAATGTAATAAAATGTTCTATGACAGTGGACCAAGTACAATGCTAGAAGTAACAAAGAAGGTTTTGATTTAGAAATTTCCCTTGTGCTTCAATAAATATTAAAATTATATTTATTCAAAACAAATTAGATGTGGTCATAAACAATTTAAGCACATGGAACAATGGCTAGAGCTGTTGTTGATTTATGGAGATTATGTTCAATGAGTATTGGATATTATTATGGATTGAGCTGTTAAGCAAAAGATCAGTTATTCAAATCTATGCACTGTAAATATTTTTAACCTTAAAAATCTGATTAAAGTTGTCATAGGTTAGAATTACAGTGGTTGTGCTTTTTGATTTGTTATTGTTAAGCAACATCCAGACTAGTCTTGAACTTTATGTACTAAAACAATATATATTACATATTTATAATTCTTTTAAAATTATTTTAATGATTTTTAAAAGTTATTAAGTCTAGCATACTTTTGCATTTTTCCTAAAACCAATTGTGCTGAAATATTTGATTTAGAGGGAGACTATGTCTATTTATATTTAGTGTTTCATAGCTCAACTTTCTAACAAAAAGGTAAGTTAAAAAATATTCTATTTATATTTTCTTCTGTTTTATCAATTATGTACCATTTTAACAACTTGCTAGGGTACTCCACATGAAGAGAAAGAAGCTACAATTTCACTGCAAAATGAGCATTTCTCATAAAAGTATAAACATTTAAATATGTTCATACAAACCCATTTGGCAAAAATGGGGAAGTACATTCAAGTACATTAGACTTATTCAAAGATTAATGAGACATTTTAAAAGTGTGGCTGATAAAATATCAAAGGTTTACTTTCATTATAATTTTTTCACCCAGTATTAAAAGGTGCTTAGCCTTTATGAAAAGCAGTAACACACTCCTAAGTTCCAAAATAAAACTGACTTTAAGATGGTTAATAAAAGCAGATTCATATGATTGGTTGCTGAAGGAATGTTTTGGCACGTACTATCATATTATTTTGTAGAATTGAAAATATCTATTTGCTGTTTAATCAGAAACAAATAACATTATTATAACTTTATGAAGAATAACAGTTTTATATTATGGTTCTTAATACAAATATTTAAAATAAACTTACTCTCGTCTGTTCTTGGTTTTGTACAACTGCAGCCTGGTGGGGTAAAAAGAAAAGTAATTATGAGAAGTCCAGGCTGGGTTTAGAAGGGGTCATGGTACTAGGGATATTGTAGCTGATGTTAGATGGACCTTAGCTGAAAGCAGAGAATATCAGAGGAATGTCTATCTGTGTTTCATTGACTATGCAAAGGCATTTGACTGTGTGGATCATAACAAAATGTGACTGACTCTGAGAAGAATGGGAAGCCAAGAACACTTGATTGTTCTAATATGAAACCTGGACCAGGAGGCAGTAGTCAGAACAGAGCAAGGGAACTGTGCATGGTTCAAAATCGGGAAGGGCGTATGCCAGGGATGCATCCTATCTCCATACTTTCCTTTTTTTTTCCTATACCTTTTCAACCTATATGCAGAACAGATTATTCGGGAGGCTGGGCTCTATGAGGAGAAATGTAGGGTCAAAATTGGTGGACGATTTATCAACAATCTGCATTATGCAGAAGACACAACCCTGCTTGCGGAAACTGAAGAGGACCTGAAGCACCTGCTGCAGAGTGTCAAGGACTGCAGCCTCCAATCTGGATTGAGGCTCAATGTCAAGAAGACAAAGATTGTCACCACTGGACCAATTGGCAGCATCAGGAT